GTATCCCAGCAGTGGGACATAAATATAGGCTGTTACTTTACTTACCACCGTACCTACGGAACGGTTTTTGTTCGTATAAACAGACTTAATTCGGTAACGATTTACGTTTATTCGTTTTTTCTGGTTAGTGAACGCAGTCTTAAAGGTTGGCACCGCATCTGCCTCTTCTCTCTCTTTCTCTCTCTCTCTCATCTCGCATCAGATGAACCGTATGGTCGAACGCAACATTCTTTCATATAAGGAAACATTAAATGTCTCATAGTTTACACTTATTTCATGTTTAGTCTTTGGGAGATGAAGTTTCGAACCGAAAGTCGTCTAACGACCTAGATTTTTCGAAACTATACCGTTATTGTGAACAGTTAACTAGAAGTATAGTCGTCATAACAAACAAAATTCCGAAAGTTTCCAAATTTACGAGTCTCGTAACGTGAACTTCAGTTGTGCCCAGCTCAGATTTGTGACGTTAAACAAACAGCATAATAAAAGTTACGACTATGCTTACCTTACGTATACATAAGCCTCTCAAATCGTATATTTCTTATAGCACTATAGGTACTCTGTTGTGTTCATAATTACAATCTTTTTTTTTATGTGAACAGTTGCCAAACGAGCAGGCGGTTCACCTGATGTTAAGTTAATGCTATGGACATCTGCTACACCCGAGGGTTACAGATGCGTTGACAACCTTTTGAAAATTGGGCTCTGGCTACCGCACTTACCAGACGAAACGCGGTTCACTGTACGCCGATCTTCTGTCGGTTGCTTTTTTCTTTTCAATATACATAAGCGAGCAGCTAAATCGACTCACCCCGAAAAAATCTAAAAATATGTAATTTTTTTCAAAAGACTAGTAATGTACACAAAATTATGTTTTTTGAAAACTTAATGCTTGAGTTTTCAAATAATGCCATTAAGTATTTTGAAAAATTACCTAGTAGTTTAAATTAACCAAATTGAAATGAAAAATATACAATTTTATATATTTTTTCGGAGTGACTCGATTTAGCAACTCGCTCTGTAGTACGAGTACTAATGTCAGAAACTACTGATTCGACCTTACTACTGAATACCTTCGAAAAAAACCGCGTCAAGATCCGTTGTATAGTTTTAAAGATCTAAGCATACTAGGGACAGACAGACAACTTTGTTTTATACTATGTAGTGATATATAAAATATTAGTAAGGATTGTCCACTATCTCTCTTTTTTTTTAAGGGAGAATTAAATCTGATGTTATAGTTCACCGGACTTATTTTATGTCAGCTCTCATTTCTGTGAATCCGAGAATATTAGATGGATAGTCACAGCTACTAGTCGGTTGTATTAACAAGCAACAGATTTCTACAGATGTCATAGCGAATTTCATAAATTGATTATTTAGGCTCGACGATTTAATTGCTAGAGCAGTTAACGATGTTGCCACGTCAGCGGTCCCTTGACAAAGCGTTTTTGCCTAATTGCTTTGAACATTTCGCCTCGGCAAAACATCCCAAAATTACAATGGGTAACGTTAATTGGGAGTTTGATTTGATCACTCGGTGGCGTCGTTGGTGAGCTATTGGCTTTGTCGTCGGCGGTCGTGGGTTCGATTCCCACACGGGGCAAGTATTTAAGTGACCAATAGATAATGTTCCGGATCTGGGTGTTTGTTTCCCAAGGAGGGTTGACACCAGAAAGTGGTTGATTTGAGAAGTGGTCTCGCTACCGACAGTAACGCCCGGTTTCTGAAACAAGGATCATCGTAGATGTCAACTATTCAGCTGTCAAATGGCTTTTCAAATGTTATTTGAGTTGCCAAAAGGATTTTTCAAATCTTTGAATTGATCGTTCTGATTATTGAGATCATTCTGATCAATTCAATGTTTCAAAATATATATACCCTAAGGGCTTACGTTTCGAAATACAACGACCTAGGAAAAAATAATTATAATTAATGATTAAAAAATAATTAAAATAAATGTTATGTTTCATGCCAGAAAAATCATAGAATAATTGGTTCATGCCTTTTATCAAAGTGATCAGGCAGAGGTTCTGAGTTTAACTTGCCTCAATACTAACATATTTTTTTAATTTCCATGCATAGTTTTATTTACATAAAACTAGTCGGATACGGATAAAATTTTTGCTTTAACCACTGTTTCGCCAAATTGTTCAATATGCGCAAATTGTTCGATAGCCGTGTTAATGGCGTTATCTAAAGAATTTGTCACCAAATTTCTTCATAAATTTCTTTTACGTGTCTAAAAAGTATAATAAGTGAAGTATCCTATATAAGACCCATTGCTGGGCAAAGACTTCTTCTGTACGAGCTAAAACGTTCTGTACTGTACCATATTGCACGCGATGGGTTCCCGATATATACCTTCAGCTTATCAAATTTATTTACTTCTTACTAGCTCTTTTTCTTACTCAAATTTTGTTTGTCACGTCTGGGACTAATAAGATCGGTTATACGTAGATTGCATTTGCTGTCTCCGTTAGCGTTACGACTAAACGATGTACAACTTGCTCTTTGTTATCGAAGTGCGTTGTCTAATGTTGATTATCCCGTTTAACATCTCCCGAGAGTTATCATTATTTCCGTGGCACCAGCTCTGGCGTGTAATCTTCGGACGACAGATCCGGTCTTGCGTCGTAAAACGAATCGTGCCCGCTTTAGCTCCGCGCCCATTCGTCTTCCGACGCCTTATCGTGTGACCCGGCAGCGAGGACCTTGACCGGGTCGAGTAATAGCGATTGCCGACAATACGATAAATCTGACCCGCGGGAAGAGAACGCGGAAAACGAACGGATTGCAAATGAAAAGTAGCTGGGATCGTTCGTGGTTGAAATACGGAGAAAAATGTGTAATATTGGATGGTGCTAGTAGACATACCCTGCCTCTGTGTATACACGGACGGTAAATCCATTAAGTTTGAAGTTGAACTGTGGTAGGGCCACAACGGTCTACGCTGTTGCACGAATGGGCAGGTCCGTCCGGGGAAGTAACACGACCTCACAGAAGACCGGCGTGAAGTAGGAACGTTATACTTCAGCGCTTCTTCTGGCGAGTGAGGTACCCGGGTCTCTCTTTATTAAAAGGTGGCAACGCATCTGCAACCCTACATGTGTTGCAAATATCTATGGGCGGTTATCACTAACCATCAAATGAACCGCCAGCTCGTTTGCCAACTATAAAACTAGAACTACTGTAAAACTCGCATAAAAAAAGTTAACGTCACGGTAGATATGTCATTTATGAGCCGATTTTGGTGCCGGCGCCGGGGATCGAACTCGGGCCGCTCGAGTATATTGAATTAAAGGCGAACGCCCGGTCACTGAGCTATCACGGCTCAATATTAGAGTAAGCGTAAGCGACTTAAAGCACAAACATCGCACAATAACGTACATTGGCGGATTTAACACCATTAGGTGTTCTCTACCAGTCAACCGACAGTATTCTCATAGGTACAACGAATATCCTACAATACATTACGAGTATCTTAGTGTAACTCTGTTTAGACATAACCAGCGTACGCCAAGATAGACCTCAGAGGGCAGGAATTTTTCCGAGTTACTTATTATTATCGTAGTAATCATGACCAAATTACAAATGATCTTTATAAATTGTAGCCCTTGTGTTATTCTAAGGTATATTACTCAAATCAAATCAAAATCAAATTTATCTTTACTCAAATACACGCTTGTGCGTTCTTATGAATCGTCAAATTTTACATAAAAAAAAAAAATATACAGTATAATGTTCGTTGTAGGTCTTGTGCAAAAACAGTAATCCATCCATCAATACATCCTCATAATATGTGTCGCTTTCAAGTGTGGCGCACCGTAGAATTTCACTCATCATTTTCCAAATGCGTCAACAGTAGTATAACTTCAAAACAATGAGTTTCCAATCTCGTCTGCAATAAATTAAACAATAAATCAGAATAATAAAAGGGCCTTTGTACAAATCTTTCCCTGTAATTTAATTTATTTCTATACACACTGTGTACATAAATTATTAAATAAATAAATAAAACCGACAACAGAGCTTGTGCGGCTTGTGCGGCTTGTGAGGCGGCTGAAAAAGCCAAAGCTTGCAAATACAGGGGTCTAGGTCCTAATATGAATTTGTCCCGTTCGGTGTTGAGACCCTTGGGGTCCTAGCGCTATTAGGCTCTTTAAGGAAATAGCAAAAAGGTTAGTCGACATCACAGGAGACCAAAGAGCTGGCAGCTACCTCGGACAAAGAATAAATCTAGCTATTCAAAGGGAGAACGCTGCCAGTGTCTTCGGAACCTTGCCTAAAGGGACTCCATTTAATAATATGTTTTAGTTATTACATTTTTTTTGTTATTTAAGGGTTTTGGTTTTAGTTTCATTGTTCTAGTGTATATTTTGTATTAGTTTATCATTTGAATGTTATTTAAGTTGCTTATAGCCTTTTACTAGATATAGTTTTTAAGATGTTATAATGAATTAGAGTAGTATGAAGTTTTATAATAAATAAGTAAAAAAAAAAATGCGACGTCGTGTAGAGGAGCTATATAAAATTATCGGCGCTGACGAGGACATCAACTTAAAAATAACAATTTTTATCTCTTAGTTTTCTTACAGGCAGAAGCTTAAGGCCTATTATACATATTTTTGCCAATGAAAATTGGCAGAAGGAACATTAATAAATTTATCACGATGCACAATTAGCTAGCTTTTACATAAGGCTGAAAAGATAACACATAAAATAGCATAAAAATAATATTTCCATTTCAGCACAAAAAGCAAAAACAAATAAGTCTCCAACGGAAGAGCTCAAATATCGCATAGTAAATTCGTAAAGCCTCCTTGGCAGCCTCGAAAGCGAAAGCTTTTGCGGTCAATTTCCTTTTATATTAGGATCTTTCAAAGGGAGCGAATCGAGTTCACAGAGGGGTATTTCCAGTTAAGTGGCTTGTTCTTCTTTTATCAGGACCAAATATGTCTACGTTTCCTTGAACAACTCTTTTTAATGTTGCACGGGCTATGACTTTTAATCTGCTAGGTGAGGTAGTCGGAGATTGCACTCTGGGTGAACAGCGCTCTTGCTGCGCAAGTTCACGGCAGTGATAATGACTTACTTTTTTAGGTTGGAAGGTGGCAAGGGAGCTGGTGGTTTACCTGATGTTAAGTGATAACCGCCGCCCATGGACATTTGCACCAACCACCAACACCACTTGCAGATTCGACGATCTTCTGTGGATGTCATGGTACTTCCTCGGACGGACGTGCCCATGCGTGGAACAGAAAAAACTGTTGGTGGGTGACCCACCCTATCCTCCTATGAAAGGAATCACATGATACTTTGTCAGAGTTTCAATAGACGTTAGAGTAGTTTGATGTAGTTAGAGAAATCTACCTTCAGGCTTAATTTTCTGTAGTGCTTACTATTAGGGTTATTATTAGAAGGATTGTATAGTTAAAAAAGAAAGAGACATAAATAGATATACTAATACAATATAAAAATGCGATTTTAATAATTAAAATGCTTTTAAAATATATCTAATGACATCAAGCATATAAAAAAATAGTCATGTTAGTCACAGTGACGGTTATTCTTAAAGATCCGATAACATTTTGAGATTATATTGAGACTTCCAACCTGAAAGTAAAGAGACATTTAAACAGTTATATTCTCATCGATACTTAATAATGTCTATATTTTTCAAACGAGCTGTCCGTTACCAGCAAATAAAGATTTGATTTAATTTAAAATTTTTCATGGATATGCTAAATAATATACGAACGTGCATGTATACATTTCAACCAATGATTACGTAAAAATGTCAAAAATAATGATTTTCTTTTCTTTTTTTTAATGAATCCCCACTACGCTCTCATTAGTAACAAAAAAACGGTTCTCGAGTATAACCTAGTAATGGCAAATATTAAAACGAGAATTTTATAAATGTTATTGTTGTTCAAAATATGCACGTACACGAAAATTCTTTTAGAAGAGAGAATTAACATTGGCAAATAATCACTTCAGACGGCGCAATTACAAAAATTGCAAATAGCTACGACCTGTAAAAGCGAACAGATGTCCCGAATAGCTGGGTTTTTGCTTTGTTTAACGAGAGTTATAAACACCGTTCGCTCTAGATACGTGACTTTTATAACGTTTTTATCATTTAATGGTCAGTGACTATTTAACCTAATTGAATGTGATGGTGATAATGGTGTACTCCTTAGTTCAGTTCTAATGGCGATACTATTCCGATTTGATAAAAACGTTAAGATAGCTTCAAATTGCATCTTCCTAAAATACAATTTTCAAGTATACTTGCATCGAATATATGTTGTATTTTATGTATTTAGAAATATACGAAAATTTGTATAAAATTTATGAAGAATCTCGGAATATATTCAGTTCGGTTCAGTTTCTCCCCTTACTCGGTTTGTCTCAACACACATAAGGCCCGCGTTGTATGAAATTTAAAGTAGTTATGAAAGTACTATAGTTTTAGTGGAGTATTACAAAGTTTAGAGCGAAATTATCATATTTCAAATTTACCTTTAAAAAACTTCTACTTTAGTATAAATAATAAATGACACCAACTCTGTTGGGAAAAGTTTGAGAGTTTCCAAACAGACGTTGTCTGGCATCGAGCCATTGCTTTAACTGCAGGATTCCTTCTTTATAGTTCGTCTGTAATTAAGAATGTGTTGTTTAAATTTAAAGAATTATAGCGCAAACTTACTTTTATGAACATTATATAGCAAAAAACCTCTATATTATGGATATTATAGATTTACATTCTTGATACTTTCAATATTGTTTTTAAACGTAAAGCTCGATTAACATAAACGTAACTTAGTAGTTAAGCAATAGTTTTGGTTCATCAGTATACATTTATTATTATAATTAATTTCATTTAAAATTTAAATTGTTCTACATAAATGGACAAGAAAAAATAAAGTGTCTGGGTACGTTGCCCATAAAGCACAGTCCCGAATTCTGGAAGTGTAGAAAAATGTTTCGACAATTTATGCACACTTCTATAACATATAAAATTCTCGTGTCACGGTGTTTGTAATTGAACTCCTCCGAGACGGCTCGATCGATTTTTGTGAAATTTTGTGTGCATATCAACCAGGGTAGAGAAACGGACAACATCTATTTTTCATCCCCCTAAATGTTAAGGGTGGTCCACCCCAAACATTTTTTCTACCCTACATATAATGTATGTAGCAAAACAATGTTTGGCGTTCGTTGCAACGTTCTAAGGGGCCTTTGTTCAACAGTGCTCCTTCGGCTGATGATGATGATTATTTAAATTTAATTCTAACTATTTTATACAATCTTAGTACATGATTTATTTCATATTTACAGTTTTTATCTATATATGTAATAAATCAATGGAATAGCCGCCGCCCTATGATCACCCGCATCACCAGTTGCTTTGCAGATGCGTTAGATTTTAATAAAGTGGGCCCTGGCTACCTCAATCACCAGACGAACGCAGAAATATAACACTTCTTCACGCCGGCCTTTTGCTCGTTCGTGGAACAGAGAAGACTGTTGCGTGGCCCTTCCACAGTTAGTTTCTTAGTTATCTAAGAAATACAAATCCTGGGAAGAGAATTTATTTGTGAACGCCCCCCATATTTATAAATCTGTAGATTTTGTGATAGGGACTGTTTCCCTGCCGTCCTCACTAGTCAGATAAATTTATTGAATAATATTATTAATGTAAAAGTTAAGTAACAGCCGGTGTAGTGTAGCCGGGGCCCACTTAATTAAAAGATGGGGACGCATCTACAAGTCTATGGGTGTAGCAAATGTCCATGGGTGGCTGTTATCAATTAACATCAGGTGAACCGCCAGTACGCTTGCTACTCTCTCAAATAAAAAAAGCTCTTGAACTAAGAGAAGAATCAGCATTTAAAATGTACTTCCTCTGTGAAACTAACCCTTAACTAATAAGCACACATTCAAATAATACACCCTATCTAATAATAACATTTAACCCTATCTAATAATAACTCGTTTATTTAGCAAACATTTCGTAATCAATGGAGAGTATCACGCATTAACAAATCGAAGTACATTATTTAATTGAACAAATGCACTCAATAAATCTCAGTTGCTGCCTTCGCAATTCCCTCACATTGTACGAGTCAATGCGGTGTGCTTTTAACTTAATGTGTTTCGACTCAAAGGACTTTGTACACAAGAAGTGTGTCAGTCACGAGCCATTTCGATGTTACTAATTACGTACTAAGTACGTATAAGAGCTGGAGTCTTCGGAGCGTCTGTCAAGTGTTTTGAACTATGTATCTATGTATGTTTCCCAAGCATGCAAAGGCTATGCAAAGTGGGATGAACAGGTCACAATCAATCTTGTTTTACCGCACTTTAATCCGACACTTTCAAAAACATAATCCTCACTAATATTATAAAGGTGAGAGTTCGTATGTATGGATGGATGTTTGTTACTCTTTCACGCAAATACCACTGGATAGATTTTAATGAAACTTTACAATAATATAGCTTATACACCAGAATAAGACATAGGCTATAATTTATATACATATTTTTATGTACATGTCTTTCTGTCGGAATGTAACGCCTTCAGCCTATTCTACGCAGACGTAGTCGAGGGCAGCAGCTAGTATGTTATAAAGTCAGTCTGCAACTGCAGCCTTATTATACAGCACGTAGAACGCAACGGAAAGACTCAAACAAAAAAAATGTTTCCACCTGGTCGCTTATATTTTTTTATACTACAAAAAACCCTAATGTACCAACTTGCTACTTGTAGAAAACCGAAGATTTTCTTTTAAGAGAACATCACGTTTCTAGTATCCAATATCTATTTTCACATATGATCATTAATCGAAAAATAAATATTTTCCATTAAGACATTCACTACAAATCTGAGAATGTCTCCTATACTTCATTTTGAAGGAGTTAAACCATAAAGAGTTCAACTAGATATAACGTCTATTTCAGTAACAAAAAAGTAAAATGCCTTTTACACCAGGGCGAATAAATAGAACTAGTTTGCAGAACATAAAAACATAATTATTTATATGTATATTATGATATCTAAAGGATTTTTTTAAAAGGCCCAAAGCTTTTAAAAATACGGGCAATGTCCTGTAAATTAATAAAATATGCCAAAATGAACGAAGGTTTCGTCCAAATGAGCGTCCAAAAATGAGTTAATGCCCTAAATCAATTTATATGCTGGACAGAGACTTTAGACGACTTCGACAGTGCTCCTATTGTAAGGGGGAAAAATTTCGATGTTCGTTTGAAAATGCAATACAAAGGGATATCTTTTCGTATTCCAGTCTGGTATCGGATCAAATGAGAACGGGCGTTACGAATAAAAATGTCGGTGATATTGTTTTTATCGAATAAAATCCAATTTATATCGATATTCGCAACATGCTGTTTTCGTCCTTACAAAATATTTTTTTTCAATTTTCGAATGGAATTCGGATACAATTGATTTGTAAAATCTTTTGAAACTACAAAGACTCACTTTTTACTTTTATTATTTGTCACGTAGTAAGGTGTTGCATTAGGGTTTTTTTATACTAACTGCCAATACGACTACGTCCACCACGTCCACCGTCATCATAGGACAGTTATGTAAATTCAATAGATGGCGCAATGGTCGGACGAACACTGACAAAATTTAAGACAAACTGAGGTTGGCTAATTTAAAAAGTAATTGGATCCGAGACGCACGTTTTTTTAAAAATGTTTTGTGAAATGTTGCCAAACGAGCAGACGGCTACCTCATTCACCATACGAAACGCGAAAGTATTTGTCATACTTCCACTTTACGCTGATCTTCTGTGAGGTTGTGGTACTTACCTGGACGGGCCTGCGTGGCCCTACCACCGTTTGTTTAGAAGTTTGGATATGGAAGAGGTAAAATTAGGATCGTAAACCAATATCTGTATTCGTAGCCACAAACTACTTTGATTTTCATGTATACTTATCGCGATAAATCGCGATAAATCTACTCTAATGAAAAAAAACTTTTATTTCCGCGCATTTAAAAGTACGTTTTTACAGAGCTTTACAGATCCCAAAAATATAAGATTTTGATTTTTTTTTACAATCATTAAGATAAAAAATATCATAATATTAATGTAGAAATGAGTTTCATATGAAGTATTGATTGTAACAGTTAAATTTTATTTTCTTCATTGAAATATTATTGATGTTGTGTATAATTTAAAAATAAATTAAAAAAATGTTTAAAACATAGGTTACTTCCGATAATTAGCCACCATTAATAGCGCTGTAGTTCATGATAATGTTACGATGGAAGATA